ACTATAAATTAAAAAACTCTTTTAATTTTATTTTTTATAATTTTTTCTCATATTATTCTTATTGAAATGACATATTGTAATTTTCTATCATTATATGTAATACTAAAAAAAAAAAAAAAAGAGGAAAAAAAATACATCGTTTTCAATTTCTGCTCCGTAGACTTTCCACTGAAGTTCGAGATGGCACGAAACTGTCAAAAAAGAGAGATGAAAAAAGCAACTGAATTTCAGAAGAAGAAGAAACAAAACCATAGAGAAGAATCACACAAACACAACTCAAATATAGACGCGGTAATTCCAGAGGAAAAACAGGGAGAAAGAGAGGGTTTCGGACACCGACAATGGCAGAGAAAGAAGCAGAGCCTGCAAAAATGAACTCTAAGCTTGCTGCGGGGACTCGCCCCTCGATCATTTTACCTCCGAAACCAGCTATGGATACCTTTTTCCTTGGTGGGGTGGGGATGAGTCCGGGACCCTTGACGCTTGTGTCCAATTTGTTCTCAGACAACTACCCTGATGGAGCAGAGCACAGGTCCTTCTCTCAGCTTCTGGCGGGAGCCATGGCCTCACCGATGGCTGGACCGGCGTTTTCTGTGAACGGTGGGACGGATAAGTCGTTGGTGGATGGGGGTTTTAAAGATGGGGCTGAGAATAATTCTGGGTTCAAGCAGAGTAGGCCGTTGAATTTGGTAGTGGCTAGGTCTCCATTGTTCACAGTGCCTCCTGGGTTGAGCCCCTCTGGTCTGCTTAACTCACCTGGGTTCTTCCCTCTTTCACCTCAGGTAATGGAGTTAATACTTGTTTCCTTTGTTTCTGGTTTTCTGTAAGCGAAAGGCCAACGCTTTTAGATAACCCTTCTGAGGTCCAAGATTCTGGAGGGCAACTAAATTTATCCAAAAAGGGTGCTTCTTTATGTAGTTTTTGTGATTTTCTGTTGGTACTTTAGACTAAGAAATGAAATTGGGCAGAATTCTTAGGATGTGCAGGGGGTTTGATCACCCGTATTCTTTTTTAGGATAAATTTTTTTTGGCCTGCATCCAATTAGAAGACCCTTCTTTTTGGTTTAAAAGCAGTTCATTGGTTTCTGATTGCTGGAAATTTTGAAAAATGTCATTAAATGTGAGAATTTGATTGCACATTAGTATTCTTTGCTTATTAACAAAGCAACTTTTGGTGAAATACTGATTAAGCATGTCTTGTATGGATGAATCTTGGGGTTGGATCAAGAGTAGTTGATTAAATATTCTGTTCATGATGCTTCGGCCTTCAATTTAGCCTACCTAGAAGATGAAAGAGATATGAGCTGCTTCTGTAAATATCTCATGGATGCATGCTGCAACAACTCATGGTACATGAAAATTTTAGTCTCTGTTAGTGTATAATGCCTATTGATCTGCAACGAAAACAAAGAAGTTTATTGTATTGTTGGATAAAGTACGTAACAGCGACCTTTTTACTCCAATAGCAATGCTGTGTAGACAAGCCATATGTTCAAACATTTGTCCCTAATAATTATAATCTCTGCAGAGCCCTTTTGGAATATCCCACCAGCAAGCGTTGGCACATGTTACAGCTCAAGCTGCCCTAGCTCAGTCTCAAATGCGAATGCAGGCAGATTATCAACCTTCATCAACAGTAGGCCCTTCAGAGCAGATGCCTGTGTCAACCTCCAACCCTCAAGGCTATACGATGGTATCTTCAGAGGCCGCCCAATCTGATAGGAACAACCAACCTTCTCTTCCCATGGATAAACCTAGTGATGATGGCTATAACTGGCGTAAGTATGGGCAGAAGCCTATTAAAGGTTGTGAATATCCCCGAAGCTACTACAAGTGTACACATTTGAACTGTCCTGTCAAAAAGAAGGTTGAGCGATCTGCAGATGGTCAAATAACTGAGATTATCTACAAAGGGCAGCACAACCACGAAATGCCTCAGCCAAGTAGACATGCAAAAGGTGGTAGTGAAATAAATGGAAATGCAAACTCCCAGGCTAAGCCGAAGGTTGGTTCAGAGGGTTTGGCTGGGAATTTGAGCAACTCAGGTGAAAACCTACCCACTCATTCAGTTCACATGAAAAATTTGGAATCTACTGCAGAGTTGCCTGGCTCAAGTGATAGTGAGGAGGGAGGTGATGAAGAAATTCGAGAAGGAAATGATGATGAGCCAAATCCAAAAAGAAGGCAAGTGCCATGTGCAAGCACACTGTGTAGGTCCTTTTTCCTTCATATCTTGTTATATTAAGAGCAACTTGCTTTCCACTGCAGGAATACTACTGGGGAAACTGCAGTAGCATTGTCACATAAAACGGTCACAGAACCAAAAATCATTGTGCAAACAAGAAGTGAAGTTGATCTTTTAGATGATGGATACAGATGGCGCAAGTACGGACAGAAAGTGGTTAAAGGGAACCCTCATCCAAGGTAATATATGGCTATATATTTGTTTGTTTGCATATTGTTCTTTCTAATCATTACATCATGCTGGTTAATTCTGTTAATTTCTTGCTGAATATATTCCTGACTTATTGCATCTATAGCTGCATCTGTATCTTGGTTATATTTTCAGACTGTTCTGAGGTTCCTTCTCTTACTGGAATTTTGTTAATATACAATTGCAATTATCTTTGACAGTATTGAACTCTCTAGCCATTAAAAGATTAAATTTTGTGGCTTAATCAAGTTTCTTGGCACAGACTTCTGATTGCTGTTACACAGAAATCTAAGCACTCCAGATCTATTGCTTAGAAAATTAACATATGCACCATATAGTCATATGCCAATACTGTTAGGATATTGCTAATATTGTTAAATTGGACCTTTTCTTGTGTTAGAATTGATAAATTGCAAAGAGCTAGGATATGCGTGTTACCAGGAAACCCTTGCCAAAATTTGGGCCTAAAAGTAAGAACATTCATTTATAACTCATTCTCCATTGTCAACAAATATTTATGAAAACTTGCAAGCACAGTAATGTTTTCCTATCAAGCTGCTTTTATTCTTTTACTTCCCTTTTTGAATGCTGGTTTCTTTATATACAAATGCATTTGATATGCCTTGTTTCCTCTTAACTGATGAATTACACCATTTTTTACCTGATTTCTGTGACATCAGATTTTCTTAATTTCATATCACTAAAATGTTGTCTTTTTGCTATATATTTGCAATCTATCCTAGGCAGATAGTAATAGCTGCAATTCGGTACCTGTTGACAATCTCAAACATCTTTCAAGATTTTTATTTTATTTTTTTCATGTGTAATGTATTATTTTCTCTTGCTGAATTCTATAAGCCTTATGTTGAAGCAGTATTCCTACTCCATTTATTTTGACCTATTGTATCTCAGTTGCGTAGGGGCCTACGTTTCTGTTCATGGTCACAGTTTGTCCTTTTTACTTATATATGTTGCAAAATTAAGTGGGTTTGGTACAGTCAAAGGATCTCTGGTCATAACTCATAACTAACATCATTTCATCAAATTGAATCCGAATTTCTTTATCTCTAAGTGTCTGGGGGCCTGCAACAATCAGTAAACCAGTGATATCATAATTGGTTAATTATTCAGACATTTCAGATACTGCTCCTAATTGTACCACATGCCTTTCATGTCTAACAGAGGTATTAACATCTTCCTTCATCTGCTGCTTTTACTTCTATTTCATGATTTCCATACCTTCATCACGAAATTACACAGTTTATGTTTTTGTAAATGAGATTCCAATGCCATCAAATTTTTCGTTTTTTAGTCACTTGTTATTACTACCTCTTTTGAGTGTCTCATCTGACTCTGGTGGCTGTATTTTCTTTTTATAAACAGGAGCTATTATAAATGCACAAGTGCAGGATGCAACGTTCGGAAGCATGTTGAGAGAGCTTCAACAGATCCCAAGGCTGTCATAACTACATATGAAGGAAAACACAATCATGATGTCCCAGCAGCCAGAAACAGCAGCCATTCCACTGCTAACAATGCAGCACAGTTAAAACCGCACAAGGTAGTTGCTGAGAAGCACCCCTTACTTAAAGGACAGGATTTTGGAAACAACCAAAGACCAGTTGTTCTTCAGCTCAAGGAAGAACAGATAAGAGTCTGAGCACCTTCCTCCATGCACTAACAGAGCTATGAAACCAATAAATTTAAGGCAGAAGGAGATTATACGAAAGAAGGGATGCAAAACCTTCCAAGGGCAGTTGCTGCTGCATGTAATGTTGATTAACCAAAGACGATCTGTCAACTGCCAAGTTCTAACTACTTTACATCTTCAAATGATCAAATTAGCAAGAGATGTTGTACATTAATTTCTGTATCCCTTTCCGGGTGAGATAACAGATATTTAGACGTTCAGTACCCTGGTATACAACTTTTATGGTGTGTAGATTATGTGGATCAATCCATCAACAACTTTTTGTAGGATTCATTGTCATATAAATCTCCTTATTTACCCTTTTTATCATTTTCGAGATGTGCTCCTTGCTTCTTTTGGATTGGATGTGTCGGTCTGCATGAGAAAGTTAAGTGGTCATTGTTATAAACTCACTTTTTTGTTTTTAAATATTATATTACAATCTCCATACTCTACCCTACGCCTAACCTTTTCCTTTTTCCTTTAATCTTTCACTAAAAAAAGGTTGAATGAGAAGAAATATTTTACAATTCAGCACTAAAATACTAGCAACTAAATTAAGAGTAAGGTTTACACTGAAATCCAAGACCTTACTTAAACTAATTTAAGAAAATAATTAATCATTGATTAAGCAATGATGAATCTTACTTCAACCTGATTGCTTAAACATGGTTTTTCAGGTGGAACCGTTGGAGCAGTTGGGCTGCAACCGCCACGGACAGGAGAGGTACAAACAAAGACTAGATCAACTAATGGAAAATAATAAGAGACCAGAAACAGGGGAGGGGGTGGTTTCTTTTCCCAACGGTTACATTTTCTTCTTTTGCAAAAACAAGAAAACACCAACAAAAGATGTGCCACCATGGACCCACGAATCTCTCTCCTTCCTTTCTTTCTTCCTCCGGTTTCCTTCTGTTCTCCCCGCAGATCTCGCTTTCGGACAGGAAAACACAGAGGAAACAGGGAACAACATTTTTTTTTTTTTTTGGCAAGGCTGTTTTACAGGGTTTGGACACCCACTTTTCTTTGTTTTACAGGGTTTGGAGTGGAGAATGCCAGAGACAACGACAGATTGGAAGGTAGCAATCATCCTTTTGGGAAGGTTAGCTCTGAGTTGAGGAGATCCAAGAAGGGAAGTTCTCGGAATTCTTTCAGCGTCAAGTTAGGCCTTCCACACAGGCTCGTGGAGGCTGAGCAGGTTGCCGCTGGCTGGCCCGCTTGGCTGAGCTCCGCTGCCGGTGAAGCTGTGCATGGATGGGTGCCTCTCCACGCTGATGCTTACGAGAAATTGGAGAAGGTAGGAAAGTTTTTTTGAAATGTTATCCTCATGTTCATTGTTTCATGTCAAGATTTCGATTTTGAATCCTATATATGCCAAGAGGATTAGAGGAAATTTTTTCATCCATGTGAAATATATCTCTTTCCATTGAAATGTTTGGAGTAGATAAATGGGGTTATATAATTCGGCATTTCTTGCTCCAGCATATAGAGGTATGTGATATATTTATGCTTTCTCATTTACGTGACATTCGGGAAACTTTCCTAGCTCCTAGTTTTCTCTAGCTTGCTCGAGGTTGGAAGGCTTTAGATGTTAAATTACATGAATTTTGTTCCATAGTATGTTGTATTTCACCAATTCACCTTCACCATAGCCATAGGGAAGCTTCAAGGCACCTTTTTGGGTTTGTTAGTGTGTTTAGACAGACAGTTGAACATGTTCTCCTCTAGTGAGAATGGGGTGCATGATCTGGTCATTTCTACAATTCTGTGCATGTAGATTGGGCAAGGTACATACAGCAGTGTATTCCGAGCGCGTGAAGTTGAAACAGGGAGGATGGTTGCGTTGAAGAAGGTTCGTTTTGACAACTTTCAACCAGAGAGCATAAGGTTCATGGCCAGAGAAATAATGATTCTCCGCAGGCTTGATCATCCAAATGTGATGAAACTCGAGGGGGTAATCACCTCCTCAATTTCAAGTTCCATTTACCTTGTATTTGAATACATGGAGCATGATCTTGCAGGGCTAAGTTCATGTCCCTACATCAAGTTCACTGAAGCACAGGTCTGTTGTATCAATGTTTTTTATCCTACTTTCCTTTTTTCTTGCTGAAGGTCAGTTTAGGTTGCATTTTCTCTGTAGGTTAAGTGTTACATGAAGCAGCTGCTATGCGGGATTGAGCATTGCCACTTGAGGGGTGTAATGCACCGGGACATTAAGGCATCCAACATTTTGGTAAGCGATCAAGGAATTTTGAAAATGGCAGATTTCGGATTAGCAAACGTCATTACCCCAAAGAACAGGCATCAGTTAACAAGTCGTGTAGTAACCCTATGGTATCGTCCTCCTGAACTTCTGATGGGATCAACAAGTTATGAAGTCTCCATTGATATATGGAGTGTGGGATGTGTCTTTGCTGAACTTCTCATGGGAAGGCCTCTCCTTAAAGGCAGAACGGAGGTGACTATTTCATTACATCACATTATCTTCTATCAAATGCTTTCAGGATTCTCTTGACAAACCATGATAAGCTCTAGGGGATTGTGTTTTAGGGTGGAAACGGCATGGTCTGTCTTTCTTCTGAATACTTTTAAACCTTTTCAGGTTGAGCAATTGCACAAAATCTTCAAGCTTTGTGGGTCACCACCAGATGATTACTGGAAAAAGATTAAGCTTCCTCATTCAACTATGTTCAAACCTCAACATCATTATGAAAGTTGTCTTCGAGAACGGTGTAGAGACGTAACCGAAACTGCAGTTGATTTGCTAGAAACTTTTCTATCCATCGAACCCCATAAACGGGGGACTGCCTCCTCTGCCCTTCTGTCTGAGGTAACTAACCACTCAGTACCAAAATATGCCACTTTTAAATGTTTTTCTGATATTTGACCCTTCATCATACCTTACTTATCTGATTTTCATTCTTATTGTTATTCCAGTATTTCCACACACAACCTTATGCCTGTGATCCATCAACCTTGCCAAAGTATCCGCCTAACAAAGAAATGGATGCAAAGCAACGAGATGAATTACGAAGGTAAATACTATTCATTTCTTGTTTCTCAAGAAATCTGATTGATGTGGTTACTCCTTCAGGCTTCAGCTATATGAGAATTAGTACTGGTTTAAAACAACATTGAATATCCATCAAAAGCATGGAACTTCGAGTTTAAGCTTGTGATCTTTCATTGAAAAATGCCAATGGCGCATTCATTCACTCTGTTTCTGACATGTTCAAAACACTCTCAGGAAAAAGATTGGAGCTAAATTGCGAGAGTCAGGAGCATCAAGGAAACAGAAAAAAACTCGTAGAACCTTACAAGAACGTAGCAATTTATGTAACACAGCACAGAAAGAGGAAATGCCAGGTGATGCTCAATTTGCTAGGAAGGGCAACCATAGGGCAAAGGAGGGTGCTGTTCATGGAGGGTATCCACATCTATCATTGGATACAATGTCAGAAACTTCCCAAGCTACGGCTACTTCCCAAGGGGAAGGCTTCACAGGCCCACCAGAGTTCACAGCATCTAGCAGCTTTGCATGGGTAAAGAAGAGAAAAGACTCTGCATCCACATTATCATACAATCCACCTAGCTCAAGGAGCCAAATTAGTGCAGTGGATTCAGCAAGCTTCCCTTTCTCAAACAATCCCTTTAACCTAACCAAAGAAGGGAATCAAGATGCTTCAGAAGGAGATCCCGAGGCCTCAAATCCTCTATTAATCAGAATGATCCAAAACCAACTAGACCAACAAAAATCTTCATATGCATCTGAGCAACAGGAGGAAAACAAACTTGATCCACTCGAATTTAAAGTGAGGAAAGTACATCATTCTCGTGAACGTTCATTCGATTTTCGCCAGAAACCAGCTGCTACGAAGCAAAATCTGGTAAGGACACAATTCTGGTTGAGGCTTGTAATCACTGTCCCGAATCTGTTTCCTCAAAACTAACTCATTCTCCATGCATGCTGTTGTATCACAGGACAAAGTTGAATTTTCAGGGCCATTAATATCCCAACCTCACAAAATTGATGAACTCTTACAAAGGAATGAGAATCATATACGTCGAGCAGCTCGCAGATCAAGATTTGATACTGGTAAACTGAACTCAATTCTGTTTATTAAGATTCCAACGGTGTTCATTGAAAGATGCTAAGGATTTTCATTCTTGTTTTGGCAGAAACATGATGCAAAGGAGGTTTTCTAGACTGGGAAAATCCGCACAATCTCCATGGCACAGGCCTTTGATGAAAGCTTCAAGCTTTTCTCATTGAGCTCATATATAGCTTAAAATATTTTCTTTAGTTTTTTTACCTTGATTATTTTGCTCAGAATTCATTGTACAAACTCAAAAGATTAAAAAAATTTCTCAAATTGTGTTGTTTCCTCAAGAAAATTCACTAAAAACCGAAAAAAGAAAAAAAGATTGAAATTTTCATGAAAGAACCAGAAAAATTAAGCAATTGCAAACAAATTGCATGACCCATAAAAACCCATCAATATAAAAACCAAAAAAGAGAGGAAGAAATGAAATCAAATGATGAAAAAAGAGAACATAAAATCGCAAAATTTGAACGGTTGAAATGTAGGGCCATCCCCTCGCTTTGGCTGCAGGAACTAGAACAGCAAAACGGCCATGGAGTCACATGCTCCCATCACAAAAGTGCGTCACGATGTTTAAAGAATATCTCACCGTGGAATACTACAAAAATGCTTGCGACCAAATTATTGTGAAATAAAACCATCATGTTATAATTGCAATATAACGTGGAATTATAAATTTATAATATAATATATTTTTATATAATTAATTTTTTTATTTAAAAATTTACCTATAATATTATAAATATGTATTTATTTAATATCATATATTACTCATTAAATTTTACATCATGATTGTAACTTATAAAATTGTATATATACCATGTAATATTACCTTTGAATCCAATTTGACATACCATGTATGGTTTATCTAAGTTTCTTTAGAGAATTACAATTGGGTGAGAAGAATTGGGATCTCAACTCTAGTACTGAGGGGGTACCTTACAATGAAATATATAACTATCGAGTCACAAAACTCAGGTGCCTTTAAATGTGCTGTTTGAGCAAAGCTTTCTTAAAAAATTGTATCATGAAATTATATTTTCAGAAATAAATATTATTCAATTAAAAAGTCTACTTATTATGGTATTACAAGCATAATGTGAAAATGTATTTATTATTTTGGGGCAGAATGAAAAGAATATTTTATTATTAAGATATTATGATAAAAACATTTCTCCTTCTTTTCCTTTCGCTTGAATTTGGAGGGTACTGTTGAATATCTACAGAACCGAGATCTTCCAGATATGAGTTTCTGTATTTATTCTCTTTAAGCATCATCTGTCATCAGTGTTGGTATTTGGCCACAATCAACAAAATCAATCTTGTTTAGTCTCAGACAGCACAACACTTGTTCAGGAAGTTCTTCCTGTTTCTGTGCCTGTCAAGACAAAGCAGATGCTTAAATGAATGAGATTGGTCCCTGCCTTAATCAACAGTCTGATTCTTGGTTGGGATATTAAGACAGGTTTTCTCAAGGACAAAGATCATGATCCTCTCCTGTTCTTTTTCAGAACAAATGCTATATAGACTAAAGATGTCTGGCATTCTAAGATGTGATTAGATTGATGTTTTCATTACCTGGATGGTTAAGCCCACATCAAGTACTCCATTTCTCAAGCGTTCTCGGAATGATTCAAGCCCCTTCCTCGATATGTAGCTGAAGCGATGAATGTCTAGATCAATCTCGAAGTAATTAGGGCCCTGTCATAAGAAGTAACAAGATTAATGTCATTGTTGATCGTATGGTGTCACAGCAATTACGAAGTATTCCATATCTCAACATAGCATGTGTTTTGAGAGAAAAATGTACTTAACTCTAAGCACATTTAGGAAATGTAGATGAAGAAACTAAAGCCTGGGGTGTTTTAAGGGCTATATAATCCTTTTTTGCTGACTAAATAATGTCTTGGATCGAAGACAGGATGCTTTATGCTTCTCAGCCCAACATCAGGTTAACACTAACAGAGTAAAAGGAAGAACGACAAAATGAGAAAAGCTTATGTTATACCTTGAAAAAATTGTGCTGAGGGCGGGAAAGGACTGGCTTTTCGTTATAAGCATTTACTAGTTTCTTTTCAGCAGAACTCAAGCTGAGATCATCAGGGTTGACCAACCCAGCCATGATCTTTAGCCTTTCTCTGAAAGGAACACTGGATTCTCTTGCAAACCCTTTGGTCTTTTCCATCTCATCATCAACCAATTTCTGTGAGCATGAACAGAAACATTTCAACAAATTCTACACTACTAAAAGGTGCCAGAAAAGTAATGAAGGTCTTCTACAATAGACAGCACATAAATAAACACAAAACATGATATAGATTAAGTATTTGTTCAACTTATAACTAGGAATGGTCTCCACTCTCCAGAATCTATTCAGGCTTTCTCAAAGAGATTAGCATCTGCTACCACGGGTAAGGTAGCAGATACCTGAAGCCTGTTATTGATCATCCATTCAAAACCACATTAAAGTGCAATATGGAATGTGCTTAGATGTTGAGAAAAAATGGGGGGAAATTATCACCATTGAAGTGCAATATGGAACATGCTTAGATGTTGAGAAAAAATGGGGCGAAATTATCACCATTTAGCATAATCTGTTATACCACAAGTACCAAAGAAGCACCAATGCACCATAATCTAAGTAGAGCTACTGATTCAGTAGATATAAGACAATGATCAAGTACCATGATGAAGTCCTGATGCTGGGCAGAGACTTCATTCTCAAAATTCTCAGAAACTCTGAAATATAGTACAAGACTCATTCCTTCACCATCACTATCACCGAGGAATATTGCTGCAGGATAAGTAGGCAACTGCCACAAGACAAGGAAGAAGACTTATGACATAGGAAACAACTAACAAGCAACTTATTATTATTATTATTAATTTGATGATTTGAAATTAAAATTCTACTACAGAAAAGAATAAAGAAAATAACATTTAAAAGAGCCCAAAATACCTGGATATTTACAATTAGAAGAGGGGGAACTTTCCCACTTGTTTTCACATTGGGAAGCTCAAGATGTTGAGCAATGTGATTTATCTTTCGTTGGCATACAAATAAGTCAACACCAATTGGAGTATATGGTGCATAATTTAGAGCAGGGGACTTCCTCTTATCTCTGTAAGGGAAATAAACATACAACTCATTAGTTAAAAAGTACAGAAATACTCAATAAAATAACCACTGGGAACAATTACTTGTTGCAAGTGCCTATTAAACAAGGATAAAATTTAACACATACTTAAAATAGGTCTCTCCTCTGAGTTTAAAAGTTGAGGGAGGAATCTCAGACCAAGATCCTGGGTTTTGCTTCTCAACTGTGCAGCCTGGAATTATATATCCTGCTTTGGGATGATACAAAAATCTCTTCGATGAACCTGTGTATATGTCAATTAATTTGATCTTAAATAAAATTTTTTCTTTGTACGAGTAAGTTACTGAAACATGACAAAGTTCACAACTCAATCATAAGAAGTGCTTACACCCTTCAGTGGTTTCTCCATCACTGGATCTCCTCTTAAAAGAGAGCCTGAAAACTGCTGTCTTCTTTCTTTGGGACTGGGCACCTATGGTTGATGTTAAAATCTTGTCATTGAAACTCACAGAAGGAACCAATCGGCTTAACCCAGATTTTAAGGTTTTCTCTTCAGAGTTTCGTCTAGTGTCTTTCAGACCTTTAAAGCTTCCATAAGAATGTTCTAATAATTTCTTCCTCTTACTACAAATATCATCAGCCTTTCCCAAGCACGAAAGCTCAAGACCCTGAACATCTTTGCTTAAAAGTTTTTCTGCTTTGCCCCCATCAATTTTCAAAATACTCTCATGGTATTCTTCATATTTACCCTTGCCATCAACAAAGCATGAAGAACTTTCATACTGAAGCACTTGACCACCTGAGATGTTTGAAATTGCATTGCCCATTGATGGAAAACAATCTGAAAAAGGAAAAAATAAGAGAAAATTTAGCATATCCCAATCAGAAATTAAAGATGGTTCACTCTATCAGAAATCTGAAAAATTGAACTAGAAATCCTACATTTCTAATAATGGAAAAAATTATATGTAGCAAAGGCATGGAGGAAGAGTCTACACATAGAGTTGGCAACTATAACATCTTATCAACGGCTCAAATATGAAATTCAAGCAATAACATGTAATATATCAGTTTGAGTCCATAAAACTTAGCATGTGTGAGAATATGCAAGTAATTTTTTTGATACAGTTTCTCTGCATCAATAAGGTAACTGACAATTCTCTCCAAAGTCCAAAGTCCGAATCACACAAAACCAGGAAAGGTTGATATTTCATTACCTCCATACACGCTGCTGAAGTCATCATCTGATTCAGATTCCAGAATACTGACTGAATCAAACCAAGCATCGTCCTGGCAAAGTGCTGCAAATACATAGTTCAAAAGTCAATTTCAGTTTTAATACTCTATATATTTATATGAAGAAACAATTAAATAATCCTTCATATTGAAGAAATTGGAAACATGTTATTTGAAATATTTCTGGCTATGGGACAGCATGATCTTGACAAGGAAAAACTGGCAAAGTTCTTGTTCCCCAAGTCCCATCCCATGAGTTGTATAGTACATGAAGGAAACTTGAAAGATTAAAATGCTTTTAGATATATAATCAAAAAAGAAAGTTTTAAACAGAAAATTTGTACGTTAAGAGATGGAACTATAACTGAACCAACTTATTACAGAAATGTTCAACATTCTCCGGCAAATTGTGTCTGCAAGAATGAGTTACATTGACCAAAAGAAAAAACATACCACTTGCATCAACCTGACTAAGATGCCACTGCAATTGGGTGATATGGAATCCAGAGTTTGAGACCTCGGATCTTCTACAAGTAGCAGTTGCACCATTCTCAAAATCCATATGCACATACTCGTTGACTATATCTGTCACACGAGCATCATTATTCCTCTTCTTGGCCCCATCTGGGACAGAACTGGAATTCTTTCCACGGAATTTCAGAGGCAGATGAGCATATCTTTTCCGTGCTTTCCTTTTTTTAGTTGGTGTTAATGGTGTTGATACACAACCCCCCATTATAATTACTTAACTACAAAAATCCTGTTAACAATGAAAATTTTCTCTCAGAGACACAAACCTTACTGAAACAAGAAATTGCAGAAGGCCTAATTAACTCTACAAGGACAACATTACATTGGTTGTGATGGTAAAAAATCAAGCCATAAGTTCAGGAAAAAAAAGAGAACCACAATCTAATATAAAAGAAAACAAATTTCACTAACAAGAAATAGTGACAGCTATTGAATTTTGAAAAGAAATGTTAACAGAATTGATGAGCAAATATAACCAAAGCATAATACAGCATCAATGTGACCGTTTTTTGTGATTGTTTCATAAATGGATATTATGAACAAATCTCAAAAGAATTAATTGAATGAAATAATTAATAAGAATAACAAACAAACAACATTCTAAACAAAATCAGATAACAAAATGTGACCAAAATTCAACAGATTACATTGAGACAGAGAGAGAGACTACCTGAAGATCAACACATCCAACCCACAAAAATTTTACAGAATGCAATCAAAACCAAACATCAGAACAACAATCAACAAGGAAAAATAAAGAAACCCATTTACCTGAAAAACAAACAAACAAGCCGCTTGACAGTAAGATAGATCTCCCTCTCTCCACAACAAGACACACCCAAAACCGCCTCAGAGAGGGAGAGATAAAGGCGACACTCAGATCATACGGGTCGGGCGGGTCCGACCAGGTCGGATCCGGGGTACATTGAGTACCAACCAAAATGGCTTCCAGAGAGAATGCTTCTGGATAGAAATGGAGGAATGATGCAAAAATGGGTGAATGACTTTATAGGATGATGATTCAAGTAATTAATGGCGTGCTGATAAAAAAAAGTAGTAATTGATGGGGATGGCAGAATCAAAGTTTTTTAAGTAAAAACTTTGGATTGGAGTAACTAACAATATTGAAAAATGTAACTATCTTGAGTTTTTGTCTACCCCTGAGTTTAGGACATTGATGATGTCCTAAAATTCGCTGTTGTTGTCTGAACAATAAACGCATCATCCCATTCTATGGAAAGGGTGGTACTACGTGATAATCTTTTTTTTTTTTTTACATTTTTATACAATTTTTATATACCATCAAGTAAGCAAATGCATGTAATACAATGAATTTTACATAAATTAAAAGAATCAATCATTTCAATGATATGTTAGATTGTAAATGAAAAAAAAAAAAAAACAAAAACATTGTAAAAAATCATTTCTCATATGGAAATACCTGACAATGGAATATCTGAGTTTCTGTTTTTCCCATATTTCTGTTTCAGTTTGAGTTGGTTGAGTCGTTTACCATTTTCCCCTATTTAACAATAAATAGGATTAATTTTTTCTTGATATGAGATGGTGTGTTTGGTAGAAAGATAACTTTCTTCGTAAAGTCCTTTTTAGAAAAGTGATTGGTTAAAATATTGTATAAAAAGTTATTAAATTTTATAATAAAATTTTGTTAAAGTTTTTTGGAGTTATTAATTTTGTTATATTCAGTAAAAATTGAAAAAAAAGAACTGAATATAAAAAGTTCTTAAATGATAGTTTTATATTAAAAAAGTTGTGAAAAAGTTATTTTTTTGAAAAAATATGGGTACAAATTCTTATAAGTTTAAATTTATGTTATGAAAAAATAAATACCAAAAATATCATTTATGCTCTTTATTTAATATATATAGTTTTAAGATATATAAATATTAAAGTACCTTTTTCAAAATTTTAAAGGAGGACATTTTCTAAAAAAGTAAACCATACACCCCTTAAATAATAATAATACTCATCTATTAAAATTTAATTGTGTATTTTTTTTTATTTTTAAGATATCATTTAATACATTTATTTTTTAATTTACTAAATAATTACAATATTATTGTAGTATACTGAATAAGAAAGCTTATAAAGAATAATGATTAATTAAAAATAAACATAAAATTTTATTAATTAATTACATCTTTATTTTATTAAAAAAACTAACTCCTACTAAAATTGAGCAAAATGGGTAAAGAATTTTATAATGCAAAAGTTAAAGTTAGACTTAATGATTTTTTTTTTTTTTTATAACAATGCAGGATGCTTTAAGCACGAGAGGATTTAAGTCCATAAAATCCTAACATATCATTTTTAAGATTATCTCTAAGTGAAACTCTTATTTACATATCATGATATTTGCACAAATATTAGCCTCATGGTTTATGTGTATAAACTCATAGATCCAATTACAATCTTTAAGAACCTACATTTACTTAATTATTTTTAGCTTTTAAAGTGTTAGAAACTAAAGTTATACACTTGCAACTTTTGTATTAGAACTTTAAATTTTTTTATGTTTTTATTTGATATATTAGAGAATTAATTGTTTGATAATACAAAAATTTAAACTTCTAACATTGATTTTAAATTAAAAATTTTAAGTTAGTAGGTATTAATTTAATTAAAATCTTATTGGTAAATTTTCTATGTTTTCTTATATAAATTTACCATTCAACGACACTAATACAAAAGCACAGTGCCTAATATGCTCAAATTTATTTGAATTTTTAATATATTGAAAGCAATAATGATTTTATTTTCATTACCTAATTAGTTCCATGTTGAAAGTTCCTTTATATTATTTCTAGATAGGGAAGGCTGAGAGTTATTTTCTTAGCTTGTCTGGCAAAAGATAAAAAAAGAAACAAGCTAGAGGGATTTGCTTCTTATTAGTCTAACGTTTGAATATTTGTTTGGCAAAAGAAAAAATGGAAACAAGGTAAAGGAATTTGCGAGAGGCTTTCCCATGTTTCCTTTCGCAAGTCAAGTTCCACACACAGACAAAAAAAAAAAAAAAACAATAATCATACTTAATTTTTTAATATATTTAATAATAAATCATATTAGAGAAATAACCCTTATTTTTTAAAATTTTTTTTACTCAACCCAAAATTTAAATATGAGATTCTTAGTGTAAAATCTCATATTTTTAGGTAATAACTTAAATAATTTAGTACTTATTTTATTTTATTAAAAATAAAAGATCTTAAATTCGAATCGTATGACATACGAGTGTGATGAGATAAGAGATGAGAGATAATTAATTTTTCTTATGCAATCAATATAAAAAAAATCTCATATTTTTAATTAAAATTGAGCCACCCTTAGGGTATAATTATGCCTAATTATTCACTAATTTGAAAA